AGATTGCTGTTTGAAAATAGGTTATGACAATTAAGTGATTAATTTTCTTCTATTAAATAGCATTATGAAACTTCAGATTACATTTATCAGTGTATTCTCTTGGAGCATCGTGTGAAGAAAGGCCAAACAGAATAGGAATTCATATCCTTTGTGCAAGGATCAGACTATACTTCTTATCAACAACACTTGGGAAAATAATTAGAAAAATGAAATTCTGCTTGAAAACTTATTTTATGGTCAAAATAACATGTTAAAAACATGGTATGTTAAAGGTCAAAATACATGAGTATGAGGAGCGAAAGTCTGGACGTCCTGTTGGCAATTTTTTTTTTTTTTTTGGTCTGGTTATCTGCAAAGTATACACCCCTTGTCAGTATAACAGGGAGTGCCTGTGTAAACATTCTTGTTTCGCCTGTTCCACATAATCATTTCTTGTATCATATTTCTTCTGACCTCGCTATCTGAAACCAATTACAGGAGATCCATTTGGGCTGCATCTATTTTCATAAGAAGCCTGGGCAGCAATGTCTTTCTCAGAGATGAATATCAACATCAAATATGCTTCTGAGTGCTTTGTTATTTATGTTTCAGAGAGATTTTGTAGCCTTCAGCTCTCAAGAATGTGTCACGCTGTGCTGTTTATACATTGAAGATATTAATGGGCGTCGATGTCATTTTTCATTTTAATGTTTCAAATGCAACAGGCTGATAGGTTAAGCATTCCTATTTTTATGGGGAGAGATATGACTGATGTCTGTTTTTCCCCAAAAGTATACATATATTTACTTTGGAAAAAAGAAGAAGGTATTTATAAACCTTAGCATACTCAACATTTTTTTGGTTTCACTGGGTATTTCTAAAGTATTCTCAAATAATTTTAATTTTGATGAAGTTTTTTCAGTACTCTTTAGAATAAAAGTATTTATCTGACAAATTACAAAGGTTTTCCACCCTACATTATTCCTCACAGTGACCTACACAGAGAATTATTCTTTGTGAAATTCTCAACTAGCATAGTTATTACTAGTAAGAAACAGTGATATACTTGAACTTTGCTTTTCTTTAAAAAGTTGTTCAGTTGAAACTACACAGTAACTTGTTAAGGGTGATGTTTTTAATAAATATTTTAGAGCAAAATACACTCAGCTCTGGAAGTCATATGCATCTCTGCAACTCTATGGCCTAACGAACATATACCTTATGATATTGTAAAAATTTTATTTCTTTTTTCAAAATATTTTGATATAATCTGATTCCAATTTTTTAAATGTCTTATTTTAATTTTTTAGCTTTACTAAAATTAGATAACTTCATTAGGTAAAGTGCACCTTTAATTCAGAACAAATGTGTTTCTGGAAACTAGATATGGGTTGGCTGCCTTAGAAATCTTTTTGTTATTCATTTGAATCAGATTCAGTCAATATGAAAGGAAATTTAGTAAACAACCTTTTCATTTTGTGATCTTAATGGCTCATAGAACTTCATGAATGGCCCTGGAATTTATCTTTTCTACATATTGACAAAAGTGGCAAGTTATTTTCAAATTAATATCTCATGTAATTTGACACCTAGTACCTTTTATTCATGGAGGTATTGTATCTCATAATGTTTCATGTTTTGATATGCTAAAATAATAAATTGCAAAGATGAACTAAACATCTTGGAGCAACTGTTTATTGAAATTCAGTCCTAAAGTGTTATCCAAAATACTGGAAATAAAAATGTTCTATGATGCATGTAGTTAGAATGCAAACTGCCAGAGATTTCTGCTTTTGAGTTTTAAATCATTCCTGATCTGTTGTAATTGTTTGTTTTGTGCTCCAACCTCTTATGTTTACTATAGAATTCACTAGTCATACCAAAAGAATGTTGAAATAAACAAGTAGTTATATTTTGTGAGTTTGTATTGGGAAGTGATCCTCAGCTATTTTGAAGATAACTGTAAATGTGTGCTGTAAAAATCAAATTACTTTAAAAGTGGAAGAATGTGTTAGCCAGATTTCTGTTTTTCTTTTCATTTTTGTTTAATAATCAGTCGTCTACTAACAATGCAGAAGATACATGCTTTTGGCCAATGATATTTTAATGAATTGAGGTTCTGAAGTATCTACTGTCTCAGTGTTTTTCTATAACCATTAGACATTTACATATTCCATTGGGTTACATGTTTGGGTTGAGTTGAATGAATGCAATGCAGGTGCTGAAAAGGAACAGGCCCTAGGCTTGGGAGACACACTTTACTACTGCCCCTTGTGACATTAATCAAGTAATTGTGGTAGGAATTCTTCATTTATTCGCCCAGACAGTGAGAAAGTTAGGCTAGACAATTTCCAGATTTTTTTTTTCCCAGCTCTAGAATGTGCATTAAACCCAAGTACAAGATGATGGGGACAGTTAGCTGTAAAAATGGTGTTTAACCTCTGGTAGTTGTTTGATTCACTTACACATTAAGAACATAAACGTATCTGTGTTTTCCCTTTTGAGTTCTGTTCAATGCATATAATCTCCATACAGGTAAAGAACGATTCCTTACGGTGGCATATATTCTGTTGTACTAATATTTTACTCATTAACAGCTGATGGTTTCTTTGACAGAAATTGAGACAAAATGGCACACTGAAATGTACTCTGACCTGGAAGTAGGGAGACCTTGAACAAAGCACTGATAAATTGTTTTGTGACACTGAACACAGCAGTTGATTACTCAAGGCCTATTTTTTCTCATTTTTTGAAAAATAATCAGATTAGTTGATTCTTTTTTATTATTTAATTAATGTGAATTTACAAAGTGCAACTTTTGTATTGTTGTGGTCCCCCCAACCTCCCTCCCTCCCGCGGCCCTCCCCTCTCCCACTCTCTTTCCCATCCCGCCCTTCATCGAGTTTCGTTTTCAATTACCTTCATATACAGAAGATCAACTTAGTATACACTAAGCAAGAATTTCAACAGGCTGCCCTCACACAACCACACAAGGTATAGGGTATTGTTCGACTAGTAGTGTTGTTTGTAAGTTTCATTCTAAGACTGAAGTTAATCCCAGTCATTTGAGAAACTGAGATGCTAAAATGTGTTCAGTACATTTCTGAAGGGATAATAAATAAGTGTATGATTTTAACATTTTAAAAAGATTGTATATAAACAAAATAAACTAATCAAGTCAATGAGGAAAAATTACATTAAAATATTAGACAGAAATGTGGATTTTTACATCAATGGGGATTTTTTTTTGAGTTTTTTACATATACAGCCTTCCTAGTCACACTATAGGAACTGCCACTTGAACAATATCAATCATAGTTATTTTTAAGTTGTAACTCAGAGAAAAAGTAAATGTCACTTAGAATATCAAATTATATTTTTCAAGCAATGAGCTTTGTGACAATAATTTGTGGAACTGTTACTTTCTTCTTCAGACTGAGCTCTATAATAAATAGTCCTGAGTTCATTGGCATGTGCCATCCTTCGAAATATTTAGGTTGACTGGTAATTATTGGAAAAGTTTAAAAAACAAAGGAAGACTGTTGTGAGAGAGTGTGTCTCCAAATGTGAAAAGTGTGCTTTACAAACTGTGCCAGATCCTGCTATGGGAAGACAAATCAATGTTGTTAGGAGATGGTGCTAGTGCATTCAGTTTGTTTACTTTGGTTTCTATGTCTGCCTGCCTTCTCAGAAAACTTGCTTGGAGCCAGACTGTAGCAGCCCTCTCTCTGTCTTTTCATAATTGATCAGGGGATGACTGCCTTCCCTGAGGGTTAAGACGTGGCAACTTTTTCTGTTTGCTCAGCATCTCAATGCAGTAGTTCAAACATTGTTCACACCAGCTGGCAGTGTAATGCCATATGCACATCTTGTCAAAGCAACTGTTGTCATGGATACTAGAAACTCTGTTAAAAACCAGATCATTGATTCCAATCAAAATTGTACTTTTTATCAGCTGAGAATCTTAATTATTATAGAAGAATATTAATCTAAGATGTTTTCCATTATGAAAAATATATGCTTATATTCTAAAATAGTGGGTAAGAAAGTAGGGTAATGATTTGTTTTAGCTTTAGCTGTTGAAAAATTGCATCACTAGTGGTGTTCATTGAACACATTTGTTGAGGAAAAAATGAATATTTAAAAACAAGCTTTTAAACAGTTTTTTAAAATATTGATTTGTATTGCTATCTTTAAAACAATTTAATATACAGTTTTTATTTTATGGCATTAGTTTTTACATAATAAGTTTATGTAGTACATTCACAAAACTCTCCCTCTTCTAGTAAATGAAATGCTTACTTTAATTTATGTTAAGTTTTATTTTCCTGAGTGGCAAAGAAAACATAAAAATAAATGAAAACATCTTCTGTTTTGATTGGTATTCTGTCATACATAGAAACAAATCTGATTGGTTGAGTGGTAATTTCTTTGTTCTCTGATTTTGCTAAGAATGCAAATGAAAACCACTCAATTTTATTTGGCATTAAAACTGCACTTTATTTTGTCAAAGGAGTGGTTTCCCCTTGAATTGTAAGTACAAAAAGTGTTTTTAATCTTTAGTGAAAATCCTTATTAATTCACTTTCAAGATAATCTGATGTTGATTTGTCAAATTTAATTACAGCTTCCGGTAACACTTGAAGTCTACTGCTTTTGCTGCAAAATTGTAATATGAAAATGCAAATGGAGTGATAATTTAAAAGGGAGTGGGCATTTTAGTTGAACACGCAAAGACAAGTTCCTTTTGGAAATGAGATTATTGATGCAGTTTATGATTTTTCTCCTCTTTAAGCACTTTAAACAAATTAAATTTATTCCCTGCAGGAGTACATGTATCTCCGGATTTTGAATAAAGTTGTATACGTGTGTTTTCTGACATTTTTTGCATATTAGAAAAAGAATATAAATAGTCTGTATAAAAGGAAGATAAATGTTCTCATACATCGAAGACATTTACTGTTAATGAGGAATAACTGATAATAATTTTTACTTAGATATTGTTCCCTTTTTCACTTCTAGGCTCTCCAAGCAGCTAGACAACTTCTCTTACAGCAGCAAACAAGTGGATTGAAATCTCCTAAGAGCAGTGATAAACAGAGGCCACTGCAGGTTAGTAAAGCACTCCTGTGCTTCTGGTCTTACTCTAAAAGATTCCTAATGAGAACAGCTGTGTAGACCCAAGTGTGTGCATACAGGCAAGTATTACATTGGCATATGTAGATAATTTTAATTCAAATAGAAAATTCATTTGAACTTCTTCAAAGAGAAAATAGTCTGTTACCATAGATCTCAAAAGTTTACAAAGTTGCTCCTTGCAATATTGTGTAGAAACCACATTTGATACACAAAGGTATAAGGAATTTTGTATAAAATTCCCTTGTGAGATTTTAATGGGGTTCTAGCTTCACACACAGGTCAAAATGTAAAAATTCTTCTTTAAAAGCAAAGTCATAGTAAAATGGTGTGGAAGGAAACAAAGCCCTGTCACACACCCTCCCACAATTGTAACTAAGTGACAAATGCGGAAAAACTCCAGGATTGCCAAAAGAACTGTTTGAGTTTGCCAAGGAGTTACTGCTGTTGCTACAGTTATGAAAACACATTCTGGAATTTGTTGTCCTTACTCACTATATTTGTCCTGTGAAACTGATAGCATCTATGTCTTTTAAAGTAACTTTTTTGGTTCATAATACCATCATTGTTTTACATAGCCTTTCTAACCAAAATTTATGGAATATTTTCTTGGAGAAAAAACAATTTTATGGTGTATTTTTTAAACATTTGGAGGGTATGAACTAGAGTTGCATAAAACATCTCTGAAACTCTTCATTGGCTTGGTTGAATAATAAGCAATAATTTTTCTTCAATCATCTGTTTTATACATGTCTAATAAGGCAAGCTTTGTTTTGTTTCTTTTTAACTTAAGTAAACAACTCATGTTGCTTTATTTTAACAAAAACAATTTCTTTTCTTAATGGCCTAGATGTCTGTTTTCGTTTTCAGGTGTACCCACAGATGTTATTAACTAAGTCTCACTCATGGCTTTCTATAGCTTAGTTTGTATGACATAGAATTACAGGCTACTGATGTACACAATCCAGAAAGTACTTATTACCTAAAAACTGGATTACAGTTTTGGTCCCTAAACACATTTGAGATGGGAATATATGTGGCGGTAAGAAAGTCATGTGTGGGTGGCTGGGAAGGGGACTCAAGGATAGGGAATGTTTCAGCAGAGCCTGCACTCTGGGTGTCTGCCATGAATGCGAAGGCAAGCTTTCCTGAATCAGCCTACATTTAAGATTCTATTGCATTTTCTCCTTTAAAACAAATTTCACATTCTTTCATTTTAACTAATCAGTAATTCTGTGAGACCCTTTCCTCACCCTCTTACCCCTCCTCAGGTTATAATACTGAGTGTAGCACTCCCCTCAGGTTCCCTGATTCCATGAGAGTCTTTCCATGCATTTATGTGACTGAAACATTTACACAGAAAACACAGAAGGTAGCAAATGAAATGTTTATTTTCATTTGTGGTTTAAGAGTATAATTTTGCTTTCTTGTTGGTTACAAAAAAAAAGGAGATGGAAATGGTGGCAAACTAAGCCAAATACAGGAAAGAAGTTACTGTTTTGAATGTCTGAAAAACACTCAGTATTGCCCTAAATCTATTAATTTCTGGAAAAGAGAAGATTTTGATAGCGCTCCTTCCTCTGCAGAGCTAAATCCAGCAGAAGTAGCTTTCTTGCTGGTTACCAGGTTATCTCTGGAAAGAATGTCTGGGTTTTCATATTTTTCTACTTTCTCTTGTGTTGTTGTACTGGGAAGTCAAGATTTGATTGATTCACTAAAATATACATAATTTTTCTTTCAAAAATTCACACATATAACATAGGAGTATTAATGTCCCTAAACTAAGATATTATTTTTATGTACCAGTTGTTGTATCAATAAATTTGGAGAAGTCTCAAACTTTGTTATTTTCACATAAAAGGGTGAGTGAGAGTATAATAAATGCCTTTTAAGAATTGCAGTTGTTGACCATTACTACAAAGACTTTCACTGTGCTACTTGAGTTTTAAGTTTTGTGATGCATGCTAACCTAAATAATACATCTCCATGGTATGGATTATTAAACTGTAGCATTTTAGGATTATTTTAGAATTTTGATTAGATCTCATGCCAAAATGTGAAAGGAATAAGAAGTTGGTTTTTTTGAATGAGGATTTAGAAATAATGAATGAAGACTTATTTGCTCACCAAAATATTCACTGCAAGTAACATAATGTGTACCTGAATTTTTAGTATTTCATAGTACTTGATGAGTTACCAACTAGAGACATGCTGGGACTGCATTAAAGACCTAATAAAATCCTAATAGCATTTTATAGTAGCTTACACATCTGATGTCAAATGGGGATATTAGGTAATGCTTATCCTTGCATTTGCAAATACTATTTAGCATGAGTTCCACAATTTGCTACCTATTGTTTAAAAAGACAAAATGTTGTTGTTTCAAATTTTAATCTTATAATGTGAAATTAACATACTGAACGTTTTCCTGTATAATTCAGTCTAGCTCTTTTCTATTTAACCAAGAATATAACCACATTTTTATAATAGAGTTGGTGTGGATTATCTTTTAAATTTTTTTAAAAAAATCGAAAAATGTTTTAAAATCTGCAAATCCAAGGCAAAGTATTTCATACTACTGGATCCTGATGGTTCTTACAATATCAGATGCAACATCTGTAGAGAACTAAAAGATAGTTTGTGGCTTTTTAAAAAAATATATAGTTTTATAAAGAACATTGCATAAAGTTTGAAAGAAAATATAAATATTTTAAAAAACTGTTTTGATGGCTCAAGTCACAAGAACAATATTCAGTTGCTTCTTAATATTCACCTGAATTTCCTTTAAATGTTAAAGTGGTGACCAGATTTGAAGTGTGACATGGTACAGAGTGTTTTCTAACAGACTAGAATTTATTACTTTTTCATTTCCATTTTTTCAGGTTTTTATGTATAGATGACATAGATATTAGAATGTCTAACACAAAATGGAAAGAAAAATATCACATCTGACAAGCTTGAATACCAGTTGTAGTAGTGATTTTCATATTTAGGGATGTGAATATATGAATTTGAATTGTTTACATATTCTATTCATTATATAAGACACCAATTGAATAGTTCTAATCAGTAGGTGCATTGATTAATGACATATTGATGAATATTGTATAAAGATTGTGATGCAAATGGAAACTGATGTAAACCTAAGTGTTACTCTATGTTTCTTCTTTACATTCTTACTATGTATACCAGAAAACATACCCTAATAAGAACAGCAGAAGATGGCCTCTAATTTTAGTGTTTTATTTATTTATATTTCTAGCACTTCCTAACTTATCCATAGTGATTCTTAATGAGGAAAGTTAGCCGAAGAGAGTATTTAATGTTTTCAGTTTCACACAACTGATTTCCAGTTTAAAAAGACTAAATTACACACATACACACAAAAGCATGCACATGCACACTTCCATAATCTGTAAATTTTAAATTTTTTGTAGAATACATTATCAACTTTCTAGCCTATGACAAATCTACTTAATTTAGTTTAGATTTGAAAAATTGGTCGCATTATTGTTCTTGTTACATTTACAGCCATGAGACAGACTTGTGGTTCTTCAACAGCTGTGCAGAGCAGAGACGTAAATTTAAGGTAAATGCCATTGCTTTGCTATCTTAGATGAATATTAGTATATAGCATTGTAATCACTTCCTTCATTGTAGGTTAATATGAAATTCTCTTTTCCAATAGTTAATTAAAATTTTAAAATTCCATCTTAAGGAGTTAAAGAATGGAATAATAAAAAGCAAAAATGAGTTAAACTTGGGGGTCTTATTCCAACCATACTGCAAAAGAATAATATAAGCTTGAAGAATTCAGTTAACATACTGAAACTAAAGCCATTGGGCTAACTGATATAAAAGATTTAAAATTCCATAAAGATTTGTTTTGCCTGTTTTGTTTTAAGTAAGTGATAGGTATATAAATTTTTTAAATTAGGTATATCTTATTGGATATTAGTTTATGTGTTAAGGATTGTGTTTTTTTTTTTTTATTTCTTTGGTTTGGTTGCAAAGCACTTGTTTAATAATATGCCACAACCAAAAATAATTCTTTGGAATCAAATTAAATCCTATATGTATGTAAACCATGGTATAAATATAATTTTGACAACATCAAAGCCAGCTTTATTTTGTTTAATGCATTGTAATTGAAACAATATTACAAATTGCATTTAGGAGAAATGTAAGCTACATAAATAATTATTTTACTAATGTATTTTTATAATATACATTTAAATCAGTTTTGATATAATTAAATGTTTCTACCTTCCTCTACTTCTTCTACTCCTAAACTGCTAAAATTAATGCCAGCAGACAAAATAAAAAAAATCCATAATACTCAGTGGTCCTACAATTTTGTATTCTATAGGAAACAAGAATAACATAAAATTTTATAGTTAAAATATTCAAGGGGACGATACTAACTTTGATGGAATATAGAATCAGACATTGTAAGTATGTTTTATAACAAAATTTCATTAATACAGTGGTAAAGAATGACACTGAATATTTCTTTTTCAACATTAATGCTGAATATACAAGAATTCGAGAGAAGGGGGCAAGTCTTGGCTGTTCCACTTCCCACCTGGCATGCTGTAGTGTGCATGGGAGGGCAGTGGAGGATGGCCCAAGTCCTTGGGCCCCTGCACCCACATGGGAGACCCAGAGGAAGCTCTGGGCTCCTGCCTTCTGATCGCTCCAGCTGCCGCTGTTGCAGCCATTTGGGGAGTGACACAGCGGGTGGAGGATATCTCTCTTTGCCTCTGTCTCCCTATAATTCTGCCTTTCAAATAAATAAATATATCTGAAAAAAAATAAAAGAAATAGAAAGGGCCAGCATTGTGGAGCAGTAGGACAAGTCATCCTATATTAAGGTGTCAATTCCAGTCCTGGATATTCTGCTTCCAATCCAGCTCCCTGATAATGGAAGCAACAGAGAATGACTCAATTGCTGGGAACCCTATCACCCACTCGGG